TGTGCACACATCCGAGCGCCAGACGGGGTTTGGGCCAGATAAGCTGAGCCGATAAAGGAAGGTGGGAATATTTGCAGAAGTCAGATAGTCTCCCTTTTAGAAAGAGGCGTGGGGCAACAAGTGGCATTCACGCCGTATTTATCCAGGGAGGGTTTGCTTCAAAAACAACCTTTTTTTGTTCATCCATTCCAACTTTGACGGCCGATTCTTGCCCTTTATAAAATCCTTAAATTTACACTTAATGCATTAGTTATCTTTAAATATTAAACTCCTTTGAATTTTGTGTCCTTGATTTCTTATTAAAATAATCTGTAGTTTTTTCTCTGTCCGTCCATTGGAATTTAGTTACAACCCAACATAAGTGTTCAAAAATCTAAAAACCTCTTGTGCCTTTTACATTCCTCTCGTGTTTAAAAGGAGAAAAACTGTTGGACTGCCCCTTTTTTTTTTAAATGGACCAATCACCAGGAAGCGACAATGACAAGCTGTGCACACACCTTCAGTCTTTACATGCAGCGACAACGAGGGCTGTGTGCTCTTAATCCATTGTTCATTCATTAGGATGAAACTTGTCTTTTAAATCACCACAAGATAAGTTTGTCTTAAGATAAGACTTTGTCTTTGACTCTTAGCAGCTCCCTCCGTCTCGTTGCCTTTGAGTAACTCCATCTGGCTTAAAGTACAGACCCCTCCTTGCTCTAAATCCTAAAGTCTACCATCACTTAATTAATTCAATTCAAAGAATTTATTGTCAAATACACCCCCCCCTGTGTATTGAAATTCTTATGCTTGCCTTTTCTGGAAAGCCAACCAATTTTAAAATTAAAATACAATATTCACATAAATGTACATGAAATAAAAATAAGGCAGAAATGGTTAAAAACACCAACTAATTTGGTCCAATCAGAGCTGCCCGACTCTTTAGATCACATTGACCTGAATTTAAACGTCGGTCACGGTCGCTTCCCCTCCAATGAAACTCCTCTACGATTGGCTGCGGTTGTTTAGTTGTTTATTGGATCCCCCCCCCCCCAGCGTCACAACGTGTTCTCAGTCTTCTTCGTGCCGCGGGACGAGACCTTGGTCTGACAGGTCCACGTCGGAACCCCTGACTTCCCCCCCGGCGTGGAGCGGCCACAAGGGGGAAACGCGCAAGTTGTCCATCAAGCTCTTGTATTCGCCCTCCGAATCGCTGCTCCGCTCGCCCTCTCGAGCCCTCGCTCTCCGAATCGCTGCTCCGCTCGCCCTCCGAGCCCTCGCTCTTCCGAATAGCTGCTCCGCTCGCCCTCCCGGGCCTCGCTCTCCGAATCGCTGCTCCGCTCGCCCTCCGGGCCCTCGCTCTCCGAATCGTTGATCCGCTCGCCCTCCGAGCCCTCGCTCTCCGAATCGCTGCTCCGCTCGCCCTCCGGGCCCTCGCTCTCCGAATCGCTGCTCCGCTCGCCCTCCGGGCCCTCGCTCTCCGAATCGCTGCTCTGCTCGCCCTCCGGGCCCTCGCTCTCCGAATCGCTGCTCCGCTCGCCCTCCGAGCCCTCGCCCTCCGAGCCCTCGCTCTCCGAGCACGCTGCTCAGCCCGGCCTCAGAGTCCTCGCTGCTCAGCCCGGCCTCAGAGTCCTCGCTGCTCAGCCCGGCCTCCGAGTCCTCGCTGCTCAGCCCGGCCTGCTCCCAGAAAAGCCTCTTTTAGTAGTGGATTGTTTGAAAGAAGACCCTCAAAGTGAGTCCCGGGGGGCCGGCTTACCTCCATGTCCCTCAATCGGTTGGTGAGGTAGATCTGGTCGAACTGCATCAGAAGGCCGTGCAGGGACAGCAGCTCCAGGTACGCGGGCTCGTTGCGGTCTCTGCTGCTTCTGCTGCGTCCTGAGCCCGGGGGGGGGGATTCGCCCCACTCCCCCTGCCCCCCCTCCTCCTCCTCCTCCCCTGACTGGTAGGATAGATCTTCCAGGGACATTACTGTGGCTCTGCTCGTCTCCACTGCCTCCAAATGAACCTCCCAGGCTGGACGGAACCGATCACAAACACGGTTGCCGCGATGCATTCGGTTTTGGGGGTGTTTGTGTTGGTTTGTGTCCTGTCTTTCCATGTACAGGAAATCTGCAGGGAAGATGGCTACCCTTCACCCAAGGTGTAGCCGATTGGATTCGACCAACCTGGACTCCTCCCCTTCATTATTGGATGCAGCTGGTGCAGGTCTATAAAGACCTGTCATTGTAAATCTTTGGGGGGAAGAGAGGGGTTCTGCAGATCTGATGGCAGAGCGCTTCTGGTGGCTCGCTGATGTCCTCTCATGGTTCTGTGTTTATTTTCCGTCGTTGGGGTTTGTGAGTATCTTGTTCAGAGAGAGAGAGTTTGGTTGTAAAAAGGTAGTCCCAGAGCGTGGGCTCTTTGGGTTAGTGTGTATGTTATATTTGTTTTGTATACTGTTAATTATTTGAGTTAAACATTTTTCCTTCCTGTGTTGCAGGGGGGGGGGAAGGGGATATTGTTAGGGAAGAGACCCATGGGTATACACCACCCGTAGCTGACTGCCTGTCTAGATACACTAGGCAAGACCTGGGCGGACCACTCCCTGTACTTTTGGTTAGCGGGCCTCATCCGTGCCCGAGGTAGAGTAAAGGGGGGGGGGGATTAGGTCAGTTAGGGAAGTGTTCACCCTTTTTGCTTGTTTCTTTGCTTTGGTCTCGCCCAGCCCCTTTTCCCCTGAACATTTGTTTTGTTTTTCCTTTTAAGGAGAGAATAAACCTCCATTTTTTGTTTACACCATTTGCCTGTGCCAGTAGTCGTCACTCACACCACGACCCCATACCTCTGGTCGCCGCGTTCATCAGGGCTCATGTTTGCAGGGGTTGCGCTCCCTTACACCTAGACCAAGGGAGGCGTAACAGCTTGGCAACGGGGGGCTGCGTTCATTTAAAACTAGACGAAAGCTTGTTGGGTTTCAGACTCTTGGGAGATAAATAGTTCATTCTTCCAACTTGTTATATGTGATGGATAGAAATTCTTATGCTTGCCTTTTCTGGAAAGCCGACCAATTTTAAAATTAAAATACAATATTCACATAAATGTACATGAAATAAAAATAAGGCAGAAATGAGGTAAGAGGAAATGTGCAAAACTGAGCAGGTTGTAATTTTTTTTTAATTCAATTAAAAATGAAATGTCTGCAATATAAATTAACAGTACAAGTGAAATCCTAACAAGCTAAAGTGCAGACCAGTTGTGAAATTATTCTTTCACATCTTTGTGTTCTCATTTATTTTCCCTGCACCTTCCACACCGACTAAACGGGAGGAAGGGGGGAGGACGGGGGGAGGAAGCTGCAGCAAAATGCATTTTTAATGCAACGGAGAAAAAAACTGTGTCACACCAAACTTCAAATGAATAAGAAATGCTTTCTGCAGTAAACCCGCATCAGTGTGGGGGGGGGTTTGTATAAGGACAAAGAGTATGAGACGTAAAACAAGGAGATGAAAGGAACGGGAAGTGAACCCAAAATGGTTAAAAACACCAACTAATTTGGTCCAATCAGAGCTGCCCGACTCTTTAGATCACATTGACCTGTATTTAAACGTCGGTCACAGTCGCTTCCCCTCCAATGAAACTCCTCCTCCACGATTGGCTGTGGTTGTTTAGTTGTTTATTGGATCCCCCCCCCCAGCGTCACAGCGTGTTCTCCGTCGGTCAGTCCACGTTGTAGAGGTCGTCCAGCAAACCGCGGGAAGTCGCAGTGCCGACTTCTTCCAGATCCGGGTCTGACAGGTCCACGTCGGAGCCCCCGATGCCCCCCCGCCGCGCGGCGTGGAGCGGCCAAAGGGAGGAAACGCGCAGGTTTTCCATCAGGCTCTCGTGTTCGCCCTCGAGGAGACCGACCTCCGAGCCCTCGCTCTCCGAATCGCTGCTCCGCTCGGCCTCCGAGTCCTCGCTGCTCAGCCCGGCCTGCTCCCAGAAAGCCTCTTTTAGTAGTGGATTGTTTGAAAGAAGACCCTCAAAGTGCGTCCCGGGGGGCCGGCTTACCTCCCTGTCCATCAATCGGTTGTTGAGGTAGATCCGGTCGAACTGCATCAGAAGGCCGTGCAGGAACAGCAGCTCCAGGTACGCAGGCTCGTCGCTGTCGCTGCTGCTGCGTCGTGAGTTCGGGGGGGCGTATCCGCCCCACTCCCACTCCCACTCCCCCTCCTCCTCCTCTGACTGGAAGGTTAGATCTTCCAGGGACATTACTGGGTCTCTGCTCGTCTCCACTGCCCCCAAATGAACCTCCCAGGCTGCACGGAACCGATCACAAACACGGTTGCCGCGATGCATTCGGTTCCCTGTGCTTGGCAACGGGGGGCTGCGTTCATTTAAAACTAGACGAAAGCTTGTTGGGTTTCAGACTCTTGGGAGATAAATAGTTAATTCTTCCAACTTGTTATATGTGATGGATAGAAAATAACCATGATCATTTTTTAATTAAGCAGCAGGAATTGTGTGTGTGTGTGTGTGTGTCCATACATTCCCTTGTTTACTACGAGACTCCTGTCATAACTTTGGCACCGCGACATTTGGCTCTGAGCTATTTTTATACCAGATGACACACACTTACGCACAACATTCTGCACTCCTCTGATGTGGCCTGCCCAGTCTCAACAGACGCACACTACGTAGCGTAGATGAAGGCAACCACACGCACACACACTGTATACCACGACACCACCCCTGTTGTTGTTGTTTGCCCGATGGTTGAAGGCTCCTGTCATGTGACAATGGTTTTATTATTTATTTATTTTACATACTTGAGTACTGGCCACATGATTTGTTGCCAACGGTTGTACACGCTGCCTCTTATTCTAAATAGCTGCTTTTGAAACAAGAAAATGACAGACCGCAACAACCTCTCGTACAAACACACACACACACACACACAGTCGTTTGTCTGCAGAGATCTGTTGACGGACGCAGATCCGGTGAACTTTGGCTACTCATTTGCGCTGCAATATTGTGTTACAAACATTTTTATTTTCTCCCAGGATGGGAGTTACTGGCTGCAGGTCCACCGGCTGGAGCACGGCGACGGCGGCATCCTCGACCTGGACGACGTGCTCTGCGATGTGGCCGACGACAAAGACCGGGTGAGTAAAAGACGCCTGATTTGGTGCAACTGAGGTGTTTGTCTCCCCGTCTGCGGCTTTCGCGTGCGAGCGCTGCTTTGCACGCAAAGTTACTTCCCCGACTGACTCTCTCTGACTGACAGCTGGGAGGTCGCAGGGTCACATTCTGCACTTTGGTCAAATGTCAGGAGATTCCCTCGAAAGACGGAGAGTGGTTGGAGTGTATTCCCCCGAGAAGTGGCTACTGACATGAGGTCCCCCGAGGACCCGTCACAGCGATGCCCCTCTGTCACCTGCAGACGGTGGGATCCACCTCGGCTCTGTTGTCCTCTGATAAGAACCAGAAACTCCGTCAGTTCACGCTGAAGAAAACCTTCCGAATCAGCAGCTGTTGCGTTTGCAGCGACAGACTGACGGGAACGTAAACCTTCGTGTCCGCAAGTCGGTCCAGTGAACGTCTTGTGAATTATTTATCGTTTCTTGCAGAAGAGCAAAAGAAGTTGTGTTGATGGTGTGTAGAAAAGAGTCTGAGGGAAATGTTCTCACAGTTTTAAAGAATAAATATCAGACAGATGATCACTGTTAAGGGACAGGGAGGAGGATGAGGCTGCATGATATATGAGCGAGCTGACACACAAACTGATGATTCTCAGACCCCCCCCCCCCCCACATGGCTTTTATAGCTTGCCAGAACAGAGCTCCAGAAGGCGCCGACCCTATGCTATGTATCGTCACTTTTATAAGCCTCCCCCCC